GAAGAATAAACAAGAAAGAGCCAACATTGGGGCACCGCGTCGCGTGACCAGGAAGAGTTATCACGTGGTCCTTATCAATTCGTTGCATTTCCGGATGAGAGCGAACACCGGAAGGCGTCGAGGGACCGCGACGTCTTCGGAGACCCTGATGAAACCTCGCGACGTCTTGGCGCAAATTGCGGCTTGCTGCCGGTACGTCGTGCCTTCCTTCTGAATTTGATTGATTGAGAGCAGGGCGCGACATGAATGCCGGCTAGAGTCCCGGAGGACCTCGTTGTCGGGAACACGGTTAGACGGTACCCGGAGTCGAGACCTTGAAACGGCGGAGGAGACGCACCGGAAGCGACGCCGCCGCGGAAATCAACGACGCCATTATGGTGACGCGCGTCGCCTCGCTCCCGATGCGAATCTCGACGTCTTACACCTCCATAATTGACAACCGGCTTGTACACGAGAAGAACAATGCCCCCTCAAGAGAGATGAAAAATGACGCCACCAGAAAATCGTAAAAATCAAACGCGAAAGTCAAACTAAATAAAAAAAAAAAGAAAAAAAATTAAATTAACGCGACTAGAAGCGGCAGCAATTTAGCACCCCGAATAAATCACCAGGTGGAGGGAGTAATGCAGCGGCCCTCGGGGGATAAAACGCGGGAATAACGTAAAATGAGGTAATTTGATGATAATCGCGCCGTACATCAGCTGACCGCAGCTCACGTGTTGCACAAAGGGGTCGCGATTTGCGGAGCCCTCGGTCAACGTTGCGAGCGATTTGTCGACGAAAAGGTCGATGAATACAGGTGTGATAAAAAATTCCAGTTCCTGAAACTGCTCGTTAATAAAATATCGAAATGTCCGATGCTCCGGAGTCATCAACAGGAGCTTTGGACGCCAATCGTTATCCACCGAGGGAGAGCTATAATTGTATAATTCGGTCCACGTATCCGAATTCACCCCTGAATCTTTCACGGCACCATTACCCTAATTATCGGCGCTGCTTCGAAATTCCGGTAGCCGATTTATTAATGCCCTGACGCGGTCAAAGAGTGCTGCGAGGATTCGGGGGGTTTTCGCAGGACTCAATAGGCGGAGGAAAGGAAGCAGGCAGGATCGATCGGGTGTCCTCGGAAAAAGGAGAACACCCCTCGGAGGTGGCTGCGCCATTCGGCCCCCGGGGGCGGGGGAACGTAATTATTGGTATCCCTTTCATTCGGGAATAGACACATATCCAGTCAACCGGCTAATCCTTCTCGCCGACACTTACACGGTCCCGTGCGCGCGTTAAGGCCGCCACGGCCTCGCAGTTTCCATTAACTCGACGGCTCCGCCCTTCCGGGCCGCCACCTCCCGGAACTCTTCCCTAACTTCTAATTTTCGCGAATCCCCCGCGAGGGACTCGTCCGAGCGGGGCTGGGCGAATCGAGGGAATTACGAGCATCCGCGGCCCCAAATCCCGCCTAAAGGACTCCCCGTCGAGGCGTCCTTACCCTGGGCGACTACCCGGAAGAGGGACGCATCCCCTGCGAATTTCTCGCCAATTTCGACGTTTTCAAAAACCCCGGCTCCAGGATCGTTCCTCCACCTCCAGCCTCCTCTAAAACCCGGAATCGATGATCGACCGGGCGCGACTCTCCCCTTTACAATTTCTTTTTCCCCCCTCCCGTTTTCGTCGTCCATTTTCCACGACGCCAATAAACGCGGCGAATCGTTTATCCGTTCTCCAAGGCGGGCGCCATTGTTCCCCGGGTATCCCGGGGAACGTTGTATAATATTCCGTGCATTGCCATTATATAACTTGTTAGCCCCGTGTCGTTAGCGATCGCTGCCTGTGACAGCCATAGAAATAACGGCATCCGGCAACATTTTCCTGGGGCGTTCGCCACGCGCGTTCGCCACGTGCGCCTGCAGTTAACTTTCCGCGGAACACTGCGCGAAGCTGGAATTAAATCAGACAATGGGATCGCTGCTTGGCCCCGGACGCTCCGTAATTCCGCGAGTTCCTCCAGGCGCGCGTTATTAATAATTCAGAAACGCCGAGACCCCCCGCCTCGATCGCGCCGCCATTATGGCGGAGCGGATGCCGAACTAGGTATGCGAGGAAACAAGGTCAGGGAAATAACAACCTGCTGATAGGAGGCGCTACACCTTGTCTAAGAAGCGACCTAACGAGCCGTAGATATTGCATTATTTTCATCGGGTTAGCCCGAGGAGAACACCCCGCGCCAAACATCGGACACCCGCCATGACTTCTACAAAATGAGGGGGGACCAAAAGAGACCAACCTGGAATTTCAATGAATTCTTTTTCTCGGTGGAGGACCCATCGATTCTCGACAAGCGAGGGGTGTTTAACCGTCTCGAATTAATCACCGCTTGGTGGAAAGAGGAAGTCCCATAAAAGGGGTTTGATCAGGGGATTTGGCTTCCTACGGGAGACAGAGGTTGATGGTGCCAAGAGGGGTGTCGATACGGCTGCCATCCGTATTCTTAATCTTGAATATTTTCTCGGGAAACGAGGGGGGCAATCACGCCAGGGGATAAATTGTCGCAGCAATTAGGGAGGTGGTGCGCATTGTGTCCGATGGGGGATAAAAGTGGGGCGCCACTTCCGCCACAGGAAGTGGCGCCTCCGCCTTGTACAGCCCGAAGGGCCATCGAGGGGTGCACGGCGGCGGGGCTCTTGGCATTCGCCCTGGTGGAAAATCTGCGCATTCGGGTGTAGACGAGCACCCCAACTCCGCGCCTACCCCTCGGCTCGGCGACTTTTCGGGACGCGAATGGATCCGCGGAAAAAGGGGTGCGACTCGCACGCGGGGAAATGCGATTCGCTGAAGGCGAGCCACCGCAGCGAGAGGAGTTATTCGCATGAGATTTCGCGCGAAATCCCGGGGCGTTTCCCTCGCACCGGAGGCGGCTATCCTCGGGGTGTCGGGGGTGGATTCCACCCTGGAAATGGATTCCTCCGGCGGAAAGAACGGCCGAAAACCAGGGAAATGAGGAGAATTAGGGAGATTTCGCCACCCGCGATCGGATCTGCGGAAAAAGTGGCGCGACACGCACGAGAGTGGAGTTGCGTTTTTCTGAAGGCATGCGTGGAATTATTCCCGTGAGATTTCCCGAGAAATACTGCGGCGTTTTCCCCGCATCGGGGGTACATGTCCTCGGGGCGGCGGAGGTGGATCCGCGAGTGAAAATGAATTCTCCGGTAGAAAGAAGAGTCAGGAACCAAGGAAATGTATTTCCACGGTAGGAAAAGAAACGGCTTGTAATCATGAAGATGAGGTGAATTAGGGCGATTTTTCCGGACGCCTTCGGATCCGTGCAGGGGTGGGAACGCGAGCCACCGCGGCAACGGGACGACTCGGGGAATTATTCGCGCGAGATTCCGCGGCGTTTCCCCCGCGTCGGGGGTACGTGTCCTCGGGGCGTCGGAGGTGGATCCGGTCCTGGAAATAGATTTCTCCAGCGGAAGGAGCGGCCCGGAAGAGGCAACTCGGCCCGGAACCAGGGAAATGAGGAGAATTAGAAGGTGAGAACTCGCTGAGACAGGATGTATGGTCGTGCCGAGCTCTTTGGGAGGGCGTCCGCCTAAGGAAGGCAAAGGAAGGAACGGAAGAGAGACGGGAGATAAAGGAGAACCAGAGGAAGGAGGAGATCGCGTTTCCCACGCTCCGCTGGACGCTCCTCCTTTCTTCTCCCGTGTCGGGAACGTTTTTAATTCGCAGGGACCGTGGGGGTTTCACGGTCTCGGTTTAACAGCGGAACCGTCTCCTCGGCGGGAGGCTGTAAAAGGATTAAACTCGCAAAACGACGTACCGTTCCTCGGCCCCGAGTGAGCTAACTCCCCGGCTGGAAATCCGCGGCAAGGGTGTGCTCCACAGGGTGGGAGATGAATCCCGGGATGACGGACCAGGGGATCTTTTTTGCCCACTTCCTATCCACCGGGAATTCGACTTCAAACCAGAATTTCCACAGGTGCGAGAATCGAAACGCCGAAAAAATATAACCCCTTCTTTGGAGGGTGGGATGGGGGGAAGACCAAGAAGCGCGGAAATCGCGTTCGCCTCCCTCTCTTGAACGGGGGTGGTTCTTAATTCCTGGAAACCATGGAAGTTTCCAAGTATTACGCTAGACCGGGGCGCCACCTGTACCAGGGAGAGGGTGTAAAGGGATTAAGCGGGCAAAACGTCCTAGCCGAGTCGGAAGGGCTGACCCACCCTCTCGGGAATACGTAGGTAATCCGCAGGGCCGCGATACACTCGGCCAGGGGTAGAAGAACGCGCCGGGGGTGATATATATTCGCGGTCTCGAGGAGCGGCGTTCCTCCCTCTCACGGCATCCCTGCCCGGGGCGCGAGCCAGCCTCGCCGGGGGCCGTTTTTGTTCCTGCAAGAGTTAATCCCCGCACCGGCGGAGTTTCCCTCGAAAACTGGCTCGGAAACTCCTTCGGTCTCCGGCCAAGCAGCTCCGGACTTTGCCGCGCCCCGAGTAAGTAGCGAAAGAGGCGCCGAGAAAATAAACTACAGCGCATAATACACACGGCCGAAGAGACACCCCGCGACGCAGGGTTACTTACGACGCTCGCGTCAATCGAGCCCGGGATTTTAATGAGCTTTACCCGAGGTAAAATTAAATAGAGCACTCGGTCCTAATTTTCGAATCACTAACAATTGAAATTTCTTAAACATCTAAGTAAATCCAATATACCTATAATACAGCCGAACCAGCCACGAGCGTCGCGCGTTCGATTCTAGTTAGCTTTTATTCAACCTTTTTTTCCAATTGTCACGAAAAAAAAATTGATATTAACAGATCTGTACGCATGTAAACTCCCCACGTTAATTGCCCCTGAAAATGATACATGAATTTATAAGATTAAGATATAAAAATAAAAGGTCGGACGAAATTATGATACCAAATGTCATCCCCAAGACGTGCAGATCGATCAATCGCCTTCGCCCTGTAGTGTTCAATTCGCGATGGGTCATTAAAGGAATACTCACATTGGACGTCCAGGAGGATGCTGGCGTTCATGGCGACCGGCAGGGTGACGTGCCTGGCGACGCAGGTGATGGTGGCGTTGTGATGGCCCCTGAGGACCTTCAGGTGCGCCCCGCTTCTTCCACCGGTGGTGGTGGGCAGAACCGTCAGATTGTCCGGGGGTTGTTCGGGCCCGTCCAGGGTGGCTTGCGACAAAGTCATGCCCCAGGCCAGCATGGGAGGTGGGTTGCCACCTTCGGCGGCGCACTCCAGGGTCAGCTCAGAGCCCTCCTTTACCGGGACGAAGAGGTTTCCGGGATCCAGGCGGCGGCCATCTATCAGCAGATACGTCCCGCGGGGCGCGTCTGAAACAAGAGCGTAGTGACTTCTTCAATTTGTGGGACCGTAACATTGAAAAATCGCTGCCGCCCCCGGGGGAGTGAACCGGAACCGCGGAAACTCGAGAGGACTCGATCTCGCCGAGCCGACCCCCTGGGAGCGTTTCCGTGGACGGGAAATCACGGGACCCCCCGAGTCTCGAGTCGATTCAGAGATGAAGCGCTCCCGGATGGGCATTTTTTATTAACAACCATTTACTCGGCTACGTTCCCGCCACTCTCAAAGACCCAGGGGTGCCTCGACTCGATCGACGGTGGGTTATGGCTACGCCGATGAGGCTAGATCTGATCGCATCCGCCAGAAACGGAGATATTAACAGTTATAGATGGGACTATACATTGTCCGAATCTGAATGGGTAGCCACGACCATAAGAACTGATTTATTTGATTCAATCGAATCTGGTCTGGTACGGTCTGGTATGGTCCAATCGGATGTGGTCCAGCTATAACCTAAGGTCCTCCTTTTTTAAAAATCTTATTTGTACACAGAAGTTAATGTACCTTCGCTTCTAGGGGTACGATAATGCCCCGGGCAAAATACTCGCGGCTAATCGTCCGCTAATCGCGGACAATGGCTCGAGCTGGGAATCGGTCATCAGCGTTGTTTAAGAGCAAGGAGGCTGGGAAAGTTTCCTTCGTAAAACAAGACCTACTGGTCCATTCATTAGAGGAACAATGGGGCTCTGGAGGAGAATGGATCCTTCCGGTTGATCCGGAGACGGACAAATAGAACCTCTCACGGCCAATGGGGCGGCTACGTCGTCGCTTCGCGGATTACTCGGTCAACTTCGTCGAAGTCGCGGCCTCCTACACTTCGGCTCACCGACACCGCTTCGATCGCGGATAAGTGCTCGACCTCGACCCGAGAAACCGCCTCCCCTTAAGGAACACGGACCGCCTCCTGGAGGGCCCCGTTGCGCTCCGAAAACCCCGGGACAATAACTCACTAACTGGTTACACGTCCCAGGAGGTCGTGCTCGTCCGGAGTTGCCGCTGTCTTGGCGAACTTCGCGCATCAACGGTGCACCCTCTTCCACCCCTCTGAATTTATTTTCCATGACCTCGGATTTTTCTATCAGCTCTCGAACGATCATTGAAATCATCTACGAGATCGTAGAAAATACAGTCCACAGGATATCCGTAGTCCCGGACTGCGTGACTCCACTTTGCGGTAAGGACTACGTTCCCGTGACCGCTGTCTTTGCGAACTTCGCGCATCAACGTTGCACCCTCTTCCACCCCTCTGAATTTATTTCCCATGACCTCGGATTTTTCTATCAGCTCTCGAACGATCATAGAAATCATCTACCAGGTCGTAGAAAATATAGTCTACAGGGTATCCGCAGTCCCGAACAGCGTGACACCACTTTGCGGTAAGGACTACGTTCCCGTGACCGCGCACCCCTTTACCGACCTTACCGTAAAGCGGAGTTATGCTGTTCTGCCTGTGAGGAGCAGATATGAGACAAGGTTGTCGTAAAAGCGTTTCCGTAACTTCATCCCCTGCCAAGGGAAAGGGCGTATTTCATCCCGACATCGCGGCGGGCATCTTCTTCTAATTAAATCTATTTACGTCCTTTTAACGGCGATTTGTGAAAGATCTTATGGATTTTCTAAAACGTCGGAGGGTCTGTCAGAGAGGTTCGCGTAGTCGCGAAGCTCGCGCTTATGGAGGGGATTTAACTTTTCGAGGATTTTCACGGTTTCCGGGGGGAATATTCCAACCGCGGGGAAGATACGTGTGATGGACCTGAAAGGGTCCCCTCAATGTGGGAGCTGGCGAAACATATTTCGGACTGCAATAAAGCCCGACGCAAACTTCACACTCCCCTCAGCTCCCCTCGGGAGTCCGAAACGAAGAAGCCTCGGATTGCGCTCGCAATTCTCCCTGTTACCCCCTGCCGAGGGACGCCGCTATCCACCCCCTTGAGGGACCGAAATACTAATGTCGATGCCATCGAGGGTGACTTGCGAGACACCTCCCTTCGAGGAAACTTTCTTGTCGAGAAAAAAAAAGCTGCGTGGATTACTGGAAAGGGTTGAGACTAAAAGACATTTTAGAAAGAGGTTCTCTTAGGTTTAATAAAGAATTAAACTGATTTATGGGAATCATTTATACCTCATTAATTTATTATGAGTAAAAATCGGTGTTTAATCGTTAAAATTGATGCTCTAGAGATACTGAGAACACTGCTAAGGCGGATCCATGCCTTGAGATGATAAAGAATTCAGCTATTTTGTGAGAATCATTTATAATTGAATTATGAATAAAAATTGGAGTTAAATCCAATCGTTAGGAACGATGCACTGAGAATATTGGAAACACCTTTAGGGCGGGCTCACTCCTGAGATGATAAAGAATTCAGCCAATTTATGGGAATCATTTCTAATTTATGAATTGTGAATAAAAACGGTGTTAAATCCATTTGTTAAAAAGGATGCACTGAGGATACTGAGATCACCGCTACAGCGGATACAGCCTTGATATGACCAAGAATTCAGCTACTTTGTGAGAATCATGTATGATTTATGAATTGTGAATAAAAATGGCGTTAAATCCAATGGTTAAAAACGATGGCGTGAAAATATTGAGAACGCCGTTAGGGCGAACTCCCCCTGGCATACTGGGAGGCTCCGAGGGGTGGCCGAAATCTCTCGCAATCTGGCGACAACCGTAACGTACGATCGGCGCTGAAAATTCGAGGAAGGTCTTATGGGGCGTGTGTTAATACGGAAACATAACGCGAAAGCGACCGACCCCTACCCCGGAATAACTCGTCTTTTTCCAGGGGCATTTGGCACACGTGGCGCCGCCCAACGGGGCTGCACCCCCGCGCCTCCTCCCTGGGCGTTTACCGGGGCACGAAGTCTGTAAAATCCCGCGATGCGGGAGTACAAAAACGGAGGGGACCCGGAAAAGAAGTGACGGATCGCCCTCCGTCAATCCAGGACCGCCATCCTCCATCCCTTCGGGTGGAACTGCGGATTTTACGCGTTGCAAAGCGTTTACGACGCGGCCGGCACCCGTCGGGCTGTGCGTAAAACTCCTTCGATGGACATTGCAAATCGCGATGTCGAGAGCCATCGAGAGCAGAGCGGAAGTCGAGCATCGATCGGTTGTCGTCGACGCCAAATCCCGTGGGGAATGTCATGGCGAAAAGGCTCGTTCCCAGCAAATGGACTCGTGGAAATGCGATCGAGCATCGCTCGACTTTTAAGGAGTTCACCCTCGGGGGTGGATTCGCGAACCCTGGAGAAGAAATCGATTTAATCACCCAGATAATAATTAAACATCGCTACGATTTATCGTCACGAGTGTACCTACTTTTGGGGTCGAGCAAAATCGGTCTCGATACCGAAGTCTTGGTATGGAGATAACAATTGCTCATCATTGTCCACCTGGGACTGTGATTTCTTCTCGTATCGGCGGAGAGCCGAGCGAGGAGGCTGCCTAGAATTCCCGAGGCTTAATTTTTTATCCCGTGCCTAAATGAACGCCGAGTGAAATAGGGACCCTGGGATTTATCAGGGATGATTTGTCGCCCGGGGGCGGGATTTTTGCCCGAGGAATTATACCGGGAAATTGCCCCCGGGGTGGATTCCTCTTATCTTCCCATTGTCCCCCTAAATTCGCAGGGATGTTTTCAGCCCGGGTGATCTCTTTGACGCATTGTCGAAAATATTTGGGAGACTTCGCGCCCTCTTTCAAATGACAATGAGGCTTATCATTAATAGCCGAGGCGTTCCGGGCCGGTGGGCGCAAGGGGGTGAGTGGTCCCCTGCAAGCGGGTAGAAAAGCGCTCAAAGCACCCCCCAAGTTACGCAACGGGCACAAAGTAGCCCCTGAATAGTTCTTAATATTTCACACGAGTTGGTTCTGCGCGTATGCGTGCATGCAAATTGCCGTCGCTCTCCTTTCCGCTGCGGCCGCGAACCGCGTAAGCGCGGCGAACCGCGATTCGCGGAAAAGCTCCGCTGGTCGGGTAGAGCACCTCCTGGTATTGCAGTTCCGCGGATCCCGGAGTTGCGGACTATTTCTGGAATTCGTGTCACTCGAAACGAAATGCTAAATATGCGCGGCACGGACTTGCGGGGGTGCAAGGGCCACCAGCACCTTGGAGCGGGGATCAACGTTGTCGGGGAGGAACGTTCGGCCCCCCGTGCAGATTTAAAATTGCAAACACCCTCTCGCATCTCTTAAACTCGAAAACTTCTCACGATACATGTTTTGTTACGTCATAAGGGTAATATAAAAAATATGTGCGTGACCACTTGACCGAAATTTCAGTTAAAAAATGCACAACAATCGATCCAGCACAGTCCTCGACCAGAGTCCTTGCAACTGAGCGAATTTCCGAAAGCTTCCACTAGGCAGCACTTCCATCTCAATACATCGCGTATCCATTTAAAAAAAAAGTGTCCATCACGTGTAGTTTCAAAAAATATTTTACAGAATTCACTTTGTGTCACATTTTATACTCGTTCTACATGTTTTTAATACAACTGTGAGGGCCCTTCATACAACTTTAATACAATTGTAGCCGGACGAATGCAATTCGAAATGAAGTACGTTAATGAATTGATGCAAGAGCGATAAAATTACAAAATACACCGAAGGGTGTACTCGATCGACGATGAAGAGTTCGAGTTTTTAGATTTAGGAGGAGACTTGGAAAAAATGTCTTAACTCGAAACGTAGCAACTAAAGCGGCCACCCCAAGCGCTGCAGGGGGTCCAGGACCGCGAGGATCCCTTGCAGTCCAATATCCAAGGGTCGCGAGACATGGATGGTATATCCGAAAAAGATGGCTCCTACGTGTCCCGACGACGCTGGGAGCAATCAAGCCCAGGACCCGATGAAATACAGAAGTAAGCAGGGCTGTCGGCGCCGACTCGAAGGGAGCTCGCTGGCTCTTCCCCGGCAATCCAATCGGGCGTGGAAGCACGCGAGGATTCCGCCGTATGC